ATAATTTATGGCAATTTACATGTTTGAAATGATCCTCAACTTTTTGAACATTGGAGAGACAGTGTAAATCCCACCAAAAAGTTGCTTGTCATATTAAGAGCAAGTGAAAACCAACCAAACAAACATAATAGAGTGAGCTTTGACAAAACCTGCTCGGATATGTTACTGCAAGTGAAAACCAACCAAACAACCATAATAAATCAACCAATTAAGTCTCTCATTGGTCATTGTAAAGTAGTTGTGATAATATAAATAATAATAATTAATTCTCATGGTCGGTTTTGAATTTTATAGTATTTTGCTCATCCAATGAATTGGCAATCAAATCTGTAATCCATTAACAATGTCGAAAGGATGATGCCACTTTACAAGTAATGCAAATTAATTAGCCAAGAATGATGTAAAAGAAAGCAAAAAGCTCGCAAAACTCTGATTTGATACAGTGAATTAAGCTATATGCAATGCACTTGACACACATTGCACTAATGCATTATACTCACTACAAGAAAAAATCTTATTAGTGTTACAAATTTCGTCACTACATATGAAATTTCGTCACAAATTTCTAAGTCGCAAATTTATTTGTGACGAAATTTGATTATTTGTGTCGAAAATTGTCATTTGTGACAAAATTTGTGATGAAAATTTTTGTCACAAATAAACTTTTTTCTTGTAGTGACTGTTTGCTTTTACCAATGTCAAAGAAGAGATACTTACTTTTGTATAAACTTAATATACCGAGTTAATGAAGTACTGGCATAATATTAACATGACAGTGCACATAACATTTGTTTAATAAAATTTAGTTAATATTTTTATGGAAGACGTAAGTTAAATATAGTAAATTTATATAAGAATCTTAGAAGTTAGTAAAATGATAGAAGATTATGGTAATTATTGTGTAGAATATAAAGGTAAAACCTTGAGCAAGGTGTTACCAAAAAAAAAAAAAAAAAACCTGGAAAAAGGATATAAACATAAAGCCTTGGCTCAAGATATAAACGTAAAACCTTAACTCGAAATATAAAAGTGAAACATTGACTAGGTATGTGTTGAGATGCATGAGATACAAGTCAAAGGTTATGGAAATCAAGATGATCCACATTCCCCCCCCCCCCCCCCCCCCCAAAAAAAAATTAAGTTTGTTAACATTAATTTTTTAAAATCAATTCTTTCAGGACATGTTCTTTTAAAACGATTTTTTCTAAAATCTGATCTAGGAGTAAAGGATATACTATTTTAAGGAGACTATCCATTTTGCTATACAATTTTTTGTCTTTTCAAAGTTACCATTATTAATTTCTTATTTAAAAGTTGAAAGATAAATATAAAAAGAATGTAATTGCGTCTTTTTTCCTCATTTAAGGATAATTATTTAAAAAACATCACTCATTCAAATATTCAGAGATAAATATAAAACAAGTAAGTCTTACTCTGCCGTAATAATTGTCTTTAAGAATTTTCACTATATAATTATTTTAAATTGTGCTTTTACTTTATATCTTAACAAAAAATAAAATATACGAATTGATAAGTATGTGTTGCCAATATTGAGTTATCCGGTGATCAAGAGAATCAGATATATTTTAATATAGGGTGCTCTTTATGACAATGATATGAACCAAGACTCTTCTTAAAGAGCTTCATAGATGTTGTGTAATGGTGGTGGGGGAGGTGTTTAATGGCTATGATGGCTCTCCAAATAAACAGAGTGACAACTCATGAGATAATAGAACAGTGTATTTGTCTTTATGAGAGTGATGAGGTATTTATAGGTGGGTAGAGCTTCCTTGTAAGGTAGACGGTATGGGAGGATGGGACAACCTAGACATCATAGCCTATCTTATATGATCAAAATGTTAGGCAGCCATTGTCAGTGTATAATGGCTGCTTGTATGCGAAAGAGGGGTACCAAGTATATGGGTGTGCTACCAGCTGCTCTTCAAAGGAAGGGGGTCTTCAGTCAGCCCTCAGTTATGGGCTTCCATATTGGGCCTGGCTACTGGGCCAACCATTTGGGTTGGTCGAAACAAAAGCCCCCCAACTTAATAGCCTACGGAGTCAGGGTGTTAAGATATTTAGGGCCAATGTCAAGGTGGATGCACTATCTGCGTTGTAGGAGGGTGAATGTGCCTTGATTGATATCTTGGAAGGGAAAACAGCCCTTCCGGTTGGCACTAAGAGGGTGTTGTCTGGTCGGAACAAATACAATAGTATAAATAATAGTAATTGAGATTATTGTTTCTCATATTGTAGGAGATAATTTTATCTCATATATACATAAAAGTGTGTAGGGCCCATGTGAAGAGAAGAGAGAAAGAAAGATAACATATACTAGCTTCACACACTTTTATGTGTGTGTATGAAATAAAATTATCTCCCACAATATGAGAAACATTAACTCCATAGTTATTTTGATGGAAAACATATTTGAAGAGGGTCAATCAAGCAAGAAAAAAGGAGCCCCCACCATACCTAAAAGTTGCACTTCTGACCTAACAGAGAAAAAGGGAGAGGAAAGAGATAGGAGATGGAGGGCGGTGGTGGAAATTGATGGGTGTGATCATAAAACATGTAAAAGCAACATATGAGTGAGTCCATCACTTGTTGAGAAGCCCCCGTGAGGTGCAAAAGTTCAGAGAGACAAGGGTCCCCATATTCCATACAAAAACCCTTTATTTCATTTTCGTTTTCTCAGTCAATTAGTTCTTATTCTTTCCACATATCATGGTTTGAAGAATTATCTATGGTTATCAATGAAGAAGAAGATTCTATAGTTAATGGAATGTTCATTGCTTGTGTTTGTGTACTCGTATAAGAGAATTATTTAGAAAATTATGTCATTCTCACGTGTTCAACCGGCATCAATTAATTTGAATTACATATATTAACTCTGAAAAGCTTTAGTTGCTAGGATTTAATTTAATTTAAAAACTAATATTTAAAAATATATATATGAAAAGGAACTTAACCAATGGAAATGAAACTCTTTTTGGAAAAAGCATTCCAAATTTGTTGGAGGAATAAGGTTGTAAACAGAAAACATGATGTTACTGCATTGTGGTCACTCATGGGATGGAACCTTTGTTGGTGCAATTTGTTATGTCCTTTTCATGTATAATTTAATTTCCCTTCATACACGCTCAACCTCACGCTGTTATATATTCTTTATGAAATTCCATCCCTTTTTTTTTTTTTTTTTTTGTAAAATGAAATTCTATCCTTCAAAAGCATACTAATCACTTGTCCTAATCCCCCTTCATATTGATAGTACACCCTTTCATTGCAAGTAACAGTTAGCCACTGTGATAAATTACATCCTATATATATGCTTTGGGTAATTATATTAGAAGCATGACCGTGAATTATTTTATTTTCAAGAACAACAATTAGTCCAGAGTCTAATTATTGACATGAAAAGTATAATCAAAAAGTGCTACACAACCAAAATTAAGTAAAAAAAGGATTAATGATAATAATCACATATATACTTAATGACTTTTGGATGGATTGATAATTTCCACCACTTTTTTTTTCTTTTAAATTCAGCAATCAGCTCTAAATTTCAGTAACCTTGTAGGGGAACACTAAATTTTGAATTTTGGAAAAGGTAATTATTACAAGAAATTTCTAGTTAATCTCAGCAATCTAACCCAGTTAAAAACTAAAAAAATAAAAACTCAATTACCTAATTTGGACTATTATATATTTCTGTTGTTGTTGCATCATGCATGGACTATATCTTTTGTGCTATAATTTAAACAAATAATTTATAACAAAAATATTTTCATTAATCAAAATTGAAAAATTGAAATATTAATTAATATAATATTCTCTTTAAATGATAAATAAATATCAATTTTTTCAATCCCACAAAGATAACTATTCCTGTTCACTTCTTTGGGTAGTTATCACTTCATTTTTAAACTAGTCAAAGTGCAGGTAGGGTAGTCCATGCTAGGTGGGTGTTACCTACAAAAGAGACTCAAACATTCACATCAGTTAAGATTAATTTCCACAGCGTACAAGCATCAAAGTGGAAAGAACATACCCTCCTCTTGAGGGATACCCTTGTTTATAGTAATCAATTAACCAATGGAACAAGTACCCTCACCCGCCAAGAGCCCATGATCACTATACCAGTCTCAAGTATTGCTCGAGTAAAGAAAAAGTATGGACTGTCCAATAACCCTTTCATTTTTTTTATTTTTTTTTAAAAAACATATTGACTTATGATAGCAAAACATGAATTTTTATTCTTTTCATATAAAAACAAATTTGGTCATACCAATATTGTCATGTGTTGGGCCCACGGGGGCGACAAAATATTTTTAATGCTACTGTCGCACCGTTGATTGGGTGCGACAATCCAATTAAAGTATTTTGTTTTGAGTGTCATAGATACAGATTAAAGAAAAGAAAAAAGAAAAATTCAGGTGTATTTTTTTAATTCGCAGTCGTATGTACTACAGTTGTATGAAAAGTGTTCTCCACGGGAGGAGTACGCGGCTGAAAAAGAATTGTGATTGCAGCGCTTCTTTCGAATATTCATGAAGCTCATCAATGTTTAACTTCTCATCGAAACTTTGCTTCACATATTTTCAATTCACCCTTATCTAGTGGCTCTCATATCAACAATATTAAAATCAAACCCAAAATATTAAAACATTACGTGCATTAGTCCTTGCAGTTATATGATGTTCATTTAGTTTATTTTTAACCAATATAAAACTTCACTCACTCATTTAGATTCCTCAACACCATTTTATTTATTTTTCTCTAATATATTCTTTCCTTTCTTTCTATGTCATATATGAATCACTTGAAAAGATAATGATTAACCCAAAGAAAAAAATTAAAAAGGGATATCCAACATTTAAGGACCCAATGGAGGTGAGGTCCGACAGCACTAAGAATGAATGAATATAAATACGAGAGGACCTCCAACATTTAAGCACCATAACAAAAAAACACCCTTTCTCGTTGTTGCAATATAACCAATGGCACCTGCACCGTTACAACTCCAACAACCACCCCAACCAACCCCAAACCCCAAACCCTCCCTTTCGGCTCGGCTCAACTCCCTCGTGGCTCAAAGCCGAGTCGGCAAGCGCTTCAAGCTCGCAGAGCGAAACACAACCTTCACCACCGAACTCCGCGCCGGCACCGCCACATTCCTCACCATGGCTTACATCCTCGCCGTCAACGCAAGCATCATCGCCGACTCCGGCGGAACCTGCAGTGTCTCCGACTGCACGCCCATCTGCTCCGACCCAAGTATCCCGCTCCAACAATGTACCGGCCTGACCCGAAAGGTCATCCGACCCGACGACTCATGCAAGTACCCGCCCGTTAACCCGGGTTACGCTGCATGCGTGGAAAGAACAAGAAAGGACCTCATCGTTGCCACAGTGTTGTCCTCCCTCGTAGGATGCACCATAATGGGTATCTTCGCGAACCTTCCTTTAGCCTTGGCTCCGGGTATGGGTGCCAACGCTTACTTCGCTTACTCAGTTGTCGGGTTTCACGGGTCGGGTACTGTACCATACAGAACAGCTTTAACGGCTATTTTCTTAGAAGGGTTAATTTTTCTCTTAATCTCAGCCGTTGGATTTCGCGCCAAACTCGCCAAACTCGTTCCGAAACCCGTCCGAGTCTCGTCCTCAGCTGGAATCGGTCTCTTCTTAGCCTTCATTGGGCTTCAAAGCAACGAAGGTATTGGGCTTATCGGGTACAGCCCATCAACCCTTGTCACACTCGGAGCCTGCCCGAGATCCGATCTAACGGCGTTAGCTCCGGTTATAACGGCGATTAACGGAACCGTTAGTTTGCTCCCTGGTGGCACTGTCTCTGACAACATATTGTGTTTGAAGAACCGGATGGAGAGTCCAACGTTGTGGCTCGGTTTGGTTGGGTTCGTTATTATAGCATATTGCTTGATGAGAAACATCAAAGGGGCTATGATATACGGCATCGTTTTCGTCACGGTTATCTCCTGGTTCAGGAACACTGCTGTTACGGTGTTCCCGAATACTGAGTTGGGTGACTCGGGTTATCACTATTTTAAGAAGGTGGTGGATGTGCACGTGATTAGGAGCACCGTTGGGGCGTTGAGTTTTGAGGGTATTATGGGTAAAGGTAGCTTTTGGGAGGCTTTGTTCACGTTCTTATACGTTGATATATTAGACACCACGGGTACTTTATATTCAATGGCTAGATTTGCGGGGTTTCTTGATCTGAACGGTGATTTCGAGGGTCAATATTTTGCTTTCATGGCTGATGCGTCATCCATTGTGGTGGGGTCACTTTTGGGCACGTCACCAGTAACGACGTTTATTGAGTCGTCAACGGGGATCCGCGAAGGTGGACGGACGGGGCTGACGGCGTTAACCGTGGCTGGGTATTTTTTCTTGGCTTTCTTTTTCACGCCTTTGTTGGCCTCGATACCCCCTTGGGCGGTTGGTCCACCGTTGATCTTGGTTGGGGTGTTGATGATGAGATGTGTGGTTGAGATTAACTGGGATGACATGAGGGAAGCTATACCTGCATTTGTGACCATTGTGTTGATGCCATTAACGTACTCCATAGCTTATGGTTTAATAGGTGGCATTGGAACGTTCCTTGTGTTGCATGTGTGGGAGTGGGGAGAGGAGTTGGTGAGAAAATGTTTGATTAAGGTGGAGTTGAAGGGAGTATCAGATGAAAATGTAAATAGAAATCATCCAATTGTTGATCATGACCAAGGAGATGATAAAGCACTCGAGGTGTAGAGGGAATTATTATCTAATTAACTTTGATCATCATATTATAGGAATAAGAATTAAGAAATAGGAAAAACAAGTTAAAAACTGAGATGATTTTGCAAGATATTTTACAAGCATTATAGTTTGTTATCACTTATCACGTTGCTCTTGGAGATAAAAGGAGAGGCGATGAGTTAGGGAAAATCTCATCAACTTGGAAATTAATGAGACATGTGTAAAATTCAGATTATTCACAATGAAAATGAGTGTGTTAATATAGCCAAGATGGACTGAGGGAAGGGCAAGCGACCCCGCCCCTTCTTAAATTTTGATTATTTTATTATTATTATATATAAAATAATACTTATTTAATAATAATAAATTGTTAGAGCAAATAATGAGGCTCTCAAAAAAGTATTTATAATAATTAACTCATCTTATTATTCTTGCTAATATTTATAACTTTAGTATTTTATTTTCGACTCTTCTCATAAATTAAAAAATCATATTTCCGCCTGTGAATATAACTAGATAGGATTATAGATGATTCCCTAATATTTTGTTGAGACTGATATATCGTTGGTTGGACGAAAAGGACACTAATTATTGGAGGAGTGTTGACCCATAGATAGGTACATGCATACCTATGTGTTTAAGGGTGGGGGTTGTGTGTTGTGTCACGGAATCAAAAATCAAAGAGCTTCTACACTGTTCTCCATTGTTTTTAGCTGTCTAGCTCTGGTATGTCACATATCTCGTGAGAAAGTAATGGCTTGTTTTGGTTCTTCAAATTAAGGGGAAAAACAATTCATAGCCTCGACTCTTGCCTTATGGGGAGAAACTACTTTTATATTATCCACTTCACCCACGTTGCAACCATTGTCATCCTCATCTCTTTCATTGGATTTACTGATATACATACAACAAAAAACTGTGAACCTAGTTCTGCAAATTATCACAAAAGTTTTTCCTACAATAAAAGTTATTGTTTTCGTGTACTGGAAAAGATGCACTAATGTGGATATGAAGTGAAATTTAGAATTTTAAAATATAATCATATTCATTTTTGTTATAAGAATGGAATACAAATTCACTTGAAATTGTAATATAGGAACTTTTTTATAGATAAATAAATATGCAAAGTGTTATATTATTCTATTATTTTATATACCTATCGGTTCATTGGTTCTTCAACTAATTCAGTTCAAACATTGCCGGACCTATTATAAGGACAACTCTCTCGAGACTATTTTCTCAATTTCCAATATTCGAACTTTGAAAACTCTAGTTAAAGGGAATAAACTCCTTGCTACTTGAAGCAATTATTGTTGGTAAATTGTTATATTATTAAAAAGGAAAAAAAAACTCCCAGAATTTTATCAATGAAAAAAATGGTTCATGGTACTTTAAACGGGCAACCTTGTGAAGTGATCGTCCTCTTATGCACCAAAGTTCCTGTACGTTGGGGTCATATAGTTATGCACCAAAGTTTAAAAATCTTATTTCTTTATTAACATAAATAAAAGAACATATGGAGGCCATCATGCATCAAAATCACCTAATAGAGAGGCGCACTAGGCAGATATAGTTGAGCTCCAACAGGTTGTTATGGCTGAGAATGAAGCAGAGCAAGAATTTCTCAGAGGGCCTAACCTCAAGTCACACAACAAACTTTCTTGTCTTACTAACAAAAAATAGAGACCCTAAGCAAGACCATGGTGAAATCTATATATACCGTTTATTGAAAGTTGTCATTTTTAGTATTTAATAAATTTTAAACATATCAAATATATTATTAAAATTAATTTAATATTATAAATATTATTATTAAATGGTGTTGACATAAATTATAATGTTTTATATTTTACTTATAAATATTAATAATATAACTTGATAAAAAAATATGTTGTTAAAATATGTCATTGAAATAATTATATTTAAAAGAATTAAGAGTATTTAAAAATTCGTTGTTCAAATAATAAAAGACATCATAATAAACTAATTAATAATATTTTTTAAATTTAATAAATAGAGTTCATAATCAATATTTCTTTTGCTAAAATCATGTATTTATTATTCTCTTAAGATTATATTTTTAAAACATAATAGTTATATTCTATATTACAAATTATGAATTTAGTAATAATTTTTAAATTGATTATTAGAGTCAAAAAATAAAATATGTTATCATCAATATGTTTCAATCTATTTATCAAATATATATATATATATATAGGTAAAATCATTTCTGCAGCCGCTTTACGTACAACAACGATAGGTGTATGGTTATGATTCCTCACATTTAATGCTTTCATCATTTGTATGGTTATGATTCCCCGCATGTAATGCTTTTAAATATATATATATATATATATATATATATATATATATATATATATATATATATGCAAGTTTTTGATTGTTGCACGTACAGTAGCTGCAGAAATGTAAACCTCATACACATATATATGGGGAAGGTTATATTTATAAATTTTTTGTTTACAAACTACACTGAGTATGACCGATCATATTTCAATCAAGAGCACATGACTGGTCATACTTAGTGTAATTTGTAAAAAAAATTTGTAAACGGATCCTTATATATATATATATGAGGAGAAATCTTTTGACTCTGGTATAAGACTTAAAAGTCTTACTCTTCATTTCAGTCATTAATTTACATCACATTTAATGGTTGTCATTTATTTCAAAAGATGCCTCCTATATATATATATATATATATATATATATATATATATATATAGGGGAAGGATATTGTAACAATCAAGTTGTGTTATTACCATGTTACTACCAAAAAAAAATTAATACTTTATATTTATTTCTACCTTTGTATGATTATGATCTCTCATATTTAATGCTTTCACTTTAAATATGGGGAATCATATCCATACAAAGATGAAAATAAATATAACCGTTGGATCAACATAAGCGATCTAACGGTGAAATTGAGTGGTAGTAACATGGTAGTAACACAACTTGGTTGTTACAATATCCTTCCCCATATATATATATATATAGAGAAAAATATTTCTCAAGCACCTTGAGATAAGTTTATCTCTGGCTATCCCAAAACTACATCGTTTTATTTATTTATTTCCTTATATTAATTGACTCATTCACCTTTGAATGATTATGATTTCCTTTTTCTTTCTCTTTCTTTATCACCATTGATCCATCTTTGAACGGTATTATTTAGTAGCCGCAGAAAAATTATCTCAAGCAGCTTGAGAAACGATAAGCCTATATATATATATATACATATTTCAATCTCTCTTATTGTTAGTGTAGAAATACATTATCAAGCATTCAGAGAAATACATTATCATCTCTTTTTATTTATAGAATAATCTTGATCTAAATGATGAGAGATTTAATGTAATTCTAAAGACTTAATTATACTTACTCCTAAAATTTCTCTACCCTCTCCCTAGTACTTTAACTAAATATAAGTCTAAAGACTTAGGGGGTGTATTGGATTGGAATTTTAAAGGATTTTAATGGATTGTTTTTGGACAAAAAAAATCCGTTGGTATTCGATTACGATTTTAATAGATTAAAAAAAAGTCACGTGGTATTCGATTAGGATTTTAAAGAATTATTTTAAAATCCGTTGGTATTCAATCAGGATTTTAAACAATGGAATCACAATCTCGTGATATTCAAAAATCCGACGATTTTAATAGATTTTCTATTGGTGTGGATTTCGTGAGACTTTTTAGTGAAAAATATAAATAGGATGTCTCTCTCACAATCTCACCCTAACCCTTAGGATTTCTTGAGATTCTTCTGTTGCAGTGTTTTCTTCTTCCTATTGACTGCTCGAAATTGGGTTCTGCCATGGGAGTTTCGTCAAAACTAAAAAAAAAACATATTTTTGAGCGATTTTTATTACAAAACAATCGAGAAACAACAAACCAACGAGATTTTAATATAATCTATCTCAAAAATAACATATTTTTGAGCTATTTTTGAGAAATTTTGAAAGTTTAAAAAGTGATTTTTCAAGCTATGGGTCGCGGTTTTTCTTGGCACAAAAATGTGTGATTTTTGTATTAAAAACAACATAAAACAGTGAAAAAATAACAGGGAAACTAAAACCCTCAAACCAATTTTTCGTTTTAGATAAATGAAGCAATATCAATTTAAAGAAATATTGAAACTTTCATAATATGAACCCTATATTTCGTAACAATACATTCATGAACGAAATTCCTTCATTATAGGAAAAGATTTCAAACAATTTTTGTGTCAATAGATAACTAAAAACTTGTTTCTCAAAAGTCCCAAAGCAATTTAAGGTTTCAATGTATCGACAGAAAAAAATTTGAGAAATTTTTTAAACTTTCATGTAATTAAACTCAAAATTTCAGATTCAAAATTTTCTTAGAATATTCAATGAAAATATGCATATGATATATGGTTAGAAAACTCTCATCACGTAAAATAAAAATCCCAAGGTTTTCAAAATCAATTGCAAAAAAATTCAAACGAAATTTTATCATGAACTTTAGGTTCTATATGCAAATTTAGAATTATTTTTATAATTAAAAAAAAATTGGGTCTTATAATCATATATGCATAACTTTGATACCAAATGAAGAAGATAATTTTCAACCCATTAGATATGTGAAAATCTGTTGTTTAGTAATTTTGAATGTTTGTTAAAAATTATATTATGTTTTACTGATTGAGAAAATTATATTAGGTTTTACTTTTTTTTATTAATTTCATGGCATTTCTTTGTTATTTTTTTATGGGGAATATTATACATACAACCTATTTTTGTTTACAACCATATTTTAATCGTTGATTTCCGTCAATCAATGGTTATTATTTTCACAAATCAAACTCATTAATTAATATTTAACTTGGAAGTTAACCATTGATATATGATTATTATTTTCGCAAATCAAACTCAAACTCAAACTTAAACTCATTGAGAAAATTATATTAGATTTTATTGATATGTGGAGAGTTGTTGTTTAGTAATTTTTGAGATAATTTTC